GTCCCACCATTTTGCAGATTGTCACCAAGAATCATATTTGGTTCATATAAAACCAGGCAATAGCAAGGACTCTGTAGATGGTTGTCATAAAATAGGGACACAAATGTCAAAATATCATAGTGTAGTCAGTCTGTGGTTCACTTTGCCCACTAGTGCCCCTTTCCAGCCAGTGGATGTTCAGCAGACATATCTTAGGATGACCTTGCATATTAGCCTAAAAAGAAATAGCCTAGATTGGAAGAGGCTTCTCATCTCATCACTCAGGCTCCACTTATCACACACAGGAAATGAATTTGCATCTTCCTTTCTAAGCCCAGTTCCTAGCAAAATGGAGCAGCTCAATGCTAAGTCACTCTTTTCTTCTTTCTTTAAGAGACATTGTGGCTAGAAACTTGGCAACTTGCTCTTTCAAAGTGACAGCTTTCAAAAACTCTACCTAACACAATTTAGCCTAATTCCAAACACATCAGAAAATGGATTGTTAAAGAAAAAAAATCTCTCCTCAGGAACCAGCTGCCTGTCGGTCCTCCTATTTTCTCTAATATGAAAAAAAAGTGGATTATAATCCCCTAGGTTGTAAAAAACATTCTTCTGAGAATGATTATACCTGTCACAAATGGAATCACGAAATCAGTTAAATGTGTAGGTTCATATTCTGGGAATTCTCTGGTGAGCTGAATTCTCCATGCAATCTTTGGTAATGTGATTACTAGACAGTGAGTATCAATGCTACTCAGGAGGTAGGAGGTCCGTTTATGGTTAGAAGAACAATAGGAAAAGTGGCTTTCTCACATTTCCTTTGGATATTTGAATTTTAAAGTGTCACAACTAGAATGAAGACATTTCTTCAGCAGCTTATTTTTTAAACTATTGCTCTTGACATGTCCCAAATCCTAAAATGTTAAAGATTTCTCTTCTCAGAGGGAGGCAGCCCAAGAGAAATGAGACTCACACCTCCTTCAAAGGCAAAAATTTTTCATGTTCACTTCACCACTAGAATTACTTTTATACCATGTAATTCTGCTGTTTAGAGTCCAGCATGAATCTTTGTTGTATATAAGGTGAAAGTTAAGGTCTTTGATGTCCACCATAGTATCAAGCCTGCTGTATTTATTAAGCTTTTCTTCTTCCTTCTATCCACTGGTCACTCTTGCATACATGCCATATGCCGTCCTTCTGCTGAAAATTCTCTTCCATGTGTTGGCCTGTCTGAAACATCCTATTCATCTTCTCAGACCCAGCTCAATATCCTTTCATCATTAAGTGTTCCTCATTCTCTTCCCCACTCCATGATACTAGATATTCCTTTGTGTTATTTAGCTGGACTTTGCATAAATCTTGATTATAGTATTTACTACACTGAAGTACAATGATCTTTTCTTGGTTTACTTTGTCTGCGGGATGGAGAGCTGCTTCAAATCAGTGACTGACTGACCTGAGCAACCCCCAGAGAGAGCCTGGAACAGCTGTGGTACATCTGTGAGAGCCAGCCTGTTTCTCAGGAAGGGAATGGAATGGTGAAATGGCACTTACCAACATCATTTCTTACCACGCACTGAATGCAACTTCTGTTCTTTCAAATACCTTGACTCCTTTGCACCAAGGAGAGGTTGATCCCCAACTGGTTAATTTGTTCATTTAGTTCTAACAAAGAGTGGTGGGAGGGAGACTATTCTGAGAAGGGTAAAAGATCCCCTTAGTCTGAAAACTAGTAGACCCTACTATCTTTGACTTTTTTTTTATACAGCCAGGCTTGCTTTCTTTTTTGAATTCAAGGCATTAGACCTGCCAAATAAGCATCCAAGTACTGCTGCAAATGATCACTTATTATTAGTATCAGAGAGTCAAACTAGCTCAAGAATATAAAGTTATCTCCAGGAGCATTACATTTCCAGCCACATATAACTCGAGACCAGGGATGCTGGAGAAGGATTTTTAGAAACTCCAGCTGCATCCACAGAACAGTCTATTAGAAATTGATATGAATCCAAACAAGCTGAGGCAATATCACAGTACTTTTCCTGGCTACACTTGAGCATCTGGAGGGACATTAAGATCTGTAAGATCATGTGAGGACATTAGACACACTGTGCCTGCCTGACACCACCATCACCTCAAATATTTCAATTCTCCTTAAGTACCATGGTGTGCATGGGAAGAACCAGAGGCGAGGTGATACATTTTGATATAGATTTTGGTTTGATAACAAAATTCTTAACCAAAGATTTCAAAAAGCTTTGATTTCAGTACATTATATGCATCAGTCTGTATTATGTGCATGATACACAACTTTTTGCGACAGAACTAACCAAAATGAAAAACCCTGATATTTCCCTCCCTTTCTTTCTTCTTGCCTCTGGATTTCTCAGTCAATTTCACAAGAATGGCTTTTGAAAGGCAAGAAGCACCACCCAGGAACATTGAAAACAGCATTTGATTTAGTTAGGGCTTGTTAACCTGGAACAAAAGGCAGCCTGGGATGGGTGACCCCGGAAGATGTAAGTCCTCTTGGAGGCCACTAGTGACCACTGGGTGAACTGCAAGATGATGGCTTCCAAACGAAACAATACAACTAAAGGAGGGACTATGCTTTCTTAACCTTAGTCCTTTAGCAGGAGCGACTTAAGGAGCACTTGATATACATAGTGCCTGATAACCTGGCTTTTGGACAAATCTTAAGTGTACAGAGTAATCTTGTTCAGACACTCTGTACTCTGGCATTTTTTTCATGTTCTGTCCCCTTGAGACTTTACAGCTATGATTCCTCCATCCCATTCTCACAGCCTGTAGCACTTGGCAGATCTGTGTGAAAAATATTAAACAGATGTGTATTTTTGAAATCTGAAACTTGTCATTAATAAAAGGATTATAAGGATGCTAGGGATGATGAGTCACTCAGTTTGCAAGTGACCTTGTTCATTCATTCAAATCACTCTACAGATAGTCATGGAAGCCCAGAGCTCCTATCCCACGCATGCCCTGTAGCATCACCCGCATTGTAGACACATGACCGCTTTGTCAATAATGACCGATTCCTTGAAATAATTCAGTTAAGTTATTCTCCACTCCTTCCCACCAAATAAACAAAGAACTAGTTGCCTCAGAGTTTTTTAAATGATTGGCTTGCTTAAGCTCTCTGCCAGTTTTGATGTCTTATTGGCTCATTTTGTTTAAGTTTCAGATGTGCAGGGGCCACGGGTTGCACACACTCCCTACAGAATGGAGTGTTGGCTGGATTCCTGATCAGGGAAATCCTGATTTTAGTGAGCTATGATCGACTGCTCACTGCAAATCAGTGATTACTGATTATGTGCTATGGGCGTGAAGTGATCACAGGCATGACTCCTCAGATGCTCAGGGGAGCCTGTAATGTAGCTTTGCTTCCATTTTGCTGATGGTAAAGCTAAGGCTTGGAGTACTCTGATCACTTGCCCTGGGTTCTGGGATGGGAAGCTGAGTTTTCGTCCTCTTGGAAGAACAGAGGTGTTCTTGGATCCCTTTCCCCATCTGTGTGGAGGTTAACATTTCTCCTCATCCATCCTGGCAAGGAAGGCTGGGGTCCTCCCTCTTTCTGTTCCTACTGCTCACTTCCTCTAGTGCCTGGGGATGCAGGGGAATTTTGGCAGAAAATGGAATACTCCAAGGCGACCTGCTTGATAGTTTGAGGTCTGCCGACTTTCCCATTTAATTTGCATTCTTAAAAGTATCAAAAGATTTCTCCTCTGAGTAGTGAAGGGGTGAACATGTACTCCTGGCTTGGAGCCTCTGCTTCCCAATCTGACCAGGGAGTTTAGAATTCCTTGATTAGCGTGTCCCTTTTTGACTCAGTTTAATGACTCTAATAAGGAACATTTAGAGTGTGGCACCCACCTGGGAGTTGATTCGGAATGAATTTGTCTTGTTCCCCTCAGAACTGTTCTATGTTCACTATTGAAGATGCCCTTCTGATTTGTGAACCCCACCTCCAAACTTGGAGGCGATACCTGCTGGCTCCTTGTTTCCACAGAATGATATCAAACTGTTTAGACGTGATAGTGTCAAAATCAAACTCATCTGCAAGGTCTGTGCAGTTCTCGGCTTGGTGGATTGTGTGGTAATCAACAGACACCATCTTCTTCCTTTGCTATTGGGAGCCCTGCATCCACCTGGGGCCTCCAGCACTGCACTCGTTCTGAAGTGATTTCACCACACAGCTGCAGGTAACCATCCTCACCTACCCCAGTGTGTGGGTGTTTATCCCTCAAAGACAGCACAGAGAACCCTCTGGAGCAAACTTGGATTCTGGTGCACAAATGCTCTGACCAAAAGTACTCCCAGCTAATGCCATTAGGGGACAGGAGGCTGAATGTCCTTGCCACGGCCCCAGGGAGTGACGGCTGTTTCACCAAGCCAGCGCTGGCACATGGGCCCTGTCACAGCTGACAGGGCTGAGAGGAGGTCAGCTGGTGGCTGCTGCACCCAGAGCAGGTCCCTCAGGATCAGGCAGAGGCAAAAGGCAGGAGAAGTAGCTCATCTCGCCTGCTCCCCAGGTTGTTCTGGAGACAAATAGAGGGCTTCCATCTCTATCACTGTCAGAATCTGGCACTTCTCTCCAGCTATGAAATTCACAGCCATGGACAGAGGAGGGAGGGGAGAGAAGGAAGGAAATGCAAGCCAGGCAATAAAAAACAGCTACAACATTTTGGAAGTAGAATCTTCCAGCTAAAGAACACTGTTAAAAAAGCAGAACAGTAGGGCTGGAAAAGGCCTCAGTGAATCCAGGATCTTTGTTGTGTAGAGGAAATAGCTGAGAGGCAGAAAGAAAAAATGGTTTCCCTGAGGTTACAAGATAGGTAAGTGGCAGAATTGGGACAAGGATCCAGCCCCCAGTGCTTTTACAAGAGGAGTTTGGTCTCCTTCCTTGAAAACCAGAGACTGGCAGAGGCATCCTTCTTGCCTAGCACCTGCCTGGGACAGGAGGTGCCAGGGCTGAGCTCTGCCCCACACAGTGATGCTCCTACCTTCCAGGTTGACGCCCCGGGGCACCAGGCCCAGCAGCTCCTCAGTGGGGAGTTCATCTTCTGCTGCATTGGAGTTGTTAGGGGGCATTGCTCTCCTGCCCGCAAAGGTGGTCCTGGGAGTGTCCGACATTGTCAGCTTTCCAAGGTCCTTGGGGGAAGCCACAGAAAAGGAATGTGAACTGAGTTCCATTTGAGACCAGGATTGAAAAATAGAGAAGCAGACATATCTGTATGTTAGAGCACTTGAACAACACATTCAGAGCTTGCATAAATAATAATGCAAAAGTGGCAGGAAGGATTAACCTAATGATGGAGCACAGCTCCCCAAGAATCTTGGGGAGATTTATTGTTTGTGAAAACATATGGGGAGCAGCAAAACGGGGGTTTATTTGAGCAAATGAGCAATTTTATAGAGTTTTAGAAAGTAAGGTTTTCCCTTCTCCAATACCCCCAAAGGAAAACATGTTAGTAAGAGATGTTTGTTGCCATATCCATGGACCTATGCCCATTTCATGGAGATGTATGAGGACTAAATCACTTTTAAGATTAGATTTATGTAACCATGCCCAGATAAGTGCTGTCCTCCATTTACATTGGCAATTTAATTCAACTGATATTTTTTGAGGACTCTTCGTCTTCTTTGCCAGCTGGGATCTAGTGCTTGGGAGAGATCCATCAGGGTTCAAGACAAGATTCCTGCTAAGACAGCTTACAGCCTAGAGGAGTCAGGGAGGAGCATGATGAGGGTCAGAAGTAAATCCAACTGGGTGTGAGGAGATGGTCGCCACGTTGGAGACAGAACCGCATGGAGGATGAGCTGAGAGAGAGAGATTAGATGGTACAGAGGAGGTGTTGCAACTGTAAGTAGGTCTACAATAGCCTGTTCTCTAATTTTCTTGGTCCATGGTGTCAACAGGGCCCTGTTCCGTGCTGCTCCTTCCACGGGCTTCAGTGCAGGCCAAGGGCCAGTAAAATACCACACACCATATAGGCATGCACAGCAAGGACTTGTTGACCAACTGAGCAAGGGAAGGGGGCCGTGTTTGTTTCTGGGCTACGAGCACCTGGATCAGTCAATCACAACTCCTGGCAATGTAGACCCAGGCACACCTTTCAAAGAAGAAGAGTGATCCTGATAGAGTCAATTAGACTGGACTGTTATTAAACACGAGAGGCAATGGCAATGATGCTAGGACGAGAGAACTTACTAAGGCGAATACCTTATTTTACCTAAGGTAAAGACCACATGGTCTTGAAGGAGACAGGAGTGCTGGGAGGGTTGGGTCCAACAGGTCTCCATGAATACCTGCCAACATACTTACAGACAGTCTCCTCCCGGCAGCTGAGGGATGAAGGGTAAGATAAATGATTTAAGGATGAACAGAAGCCAGGAAAGGCCAGCCCTGGGAAAAGCAAAGGTGGGGTTGTTAGGGGTAGAAAGGGAGAAGAGTGCAGGACACCACAGCAGCCCACTGGAGAAGGAGCAGGTAAAGGGGATACCTGGGGTTCCAGGTGCCAGCCAGGTGCAGCAGGTGCAGACCTGCCCTGAGGGAGTGTGGGTGAGCAGCAGGCACCCACTCTCAGGGTCAGGGAAGGGGACGGATCTTAAGTTCAGCTCCTGCTGAAACGCAGGAGGGGAGCCAAGCCTGCTCTGGTCCAGGCTAGCAGGTTTCCTACCTGGCCCTCCTCTTTTCCCCAAACCTTTGTGCTCCTGAAGAAAGATGCCCTGTCTTTTGGAGCACCCCCCCAATTCCCCTCCCTTGCCTTTCTTAGCAAGCAGTTCCTTTCAGGTGGCTTCATGGGGTAGTGAGCAGGTCTGCTCAGAAGTAGGACTTCGCAGTGCAAAGTTAGGGGGCCAAGAACTGGAGTCAGAGAAGTGAGGCTGCCTCTGTCCCCTCCCTGGCCCTGTAGCAGTCACCTGAGGCTCCCTAGGAAACCAAGGTACAGGGGTACAGTGCTACGGGGCAGCTGCTTACCTGTGAGCTCCAGCCAGGCGGCTTGGGCAGCTTTGTGTGTCTGGAACTTCCTCAAAAGGATTCAGGAAAAGTGACCAGAAAGTTGGCTCTTAAATAACTAGCTAACAGCTCCCACCCTCTTTCCCGTCCCCCGCGGTTTTCTCCTCCCCCTTCCTGACAGCTGCAGTGAGCAGAGGCTTCTAGGACTTGTCATTTATTTCTGCCATCCCGTGTGTTACTCCAGTGTGGGCCGCTTCCTTCTCCTCACACCTGTCTAGCCCTCAGTTTCCTATTCTCGCATCTGCCTCCACCCCCAGATCTGCCTCTCCCCACTTCCCTAATGACCCATGTGCTAGGCAGGGCTGCTTCTCTTTGGCCCCCATGGCTGGATAGGTCTTTCACAAAGGACTGCTTCTGCCATGCAGGGCAGCTGGTGCGGCTGGGCAGAGGGGAGAGTCCGCCTTCTGCAGACAGGTCACAGACAGTCGTGCCCGTGCATCAAGCAAGAGCAATGTGTCCCTCCTGTGCAAATAGGGGTGGGCTCTTGAATCATCCAGGAAGCAGCCGCTACCTAACCACAAGGCTTCCTGTGGCACAGCCACGCCCAGCTCCGGGGGGGAGAAGAGTAAACTTGCCACACAGAGTAGAAAACATTTATGTTCTCCCTGAAGACCACGTAGGTGTATCTTCGCAAGTTAGAGAGAAAGAAAAGAAAGTTCTCCTCTGAAACTTTCCATATTTTTGTTTCTGAGTATATCTCCAAATATTCCTATTTTCAGTTGCGGGTATTTCTAGCCTTCTCTACTGCCTTCAGGTATCTGACCTTGCTGTAGAAAAATATCTGTACCTATATTTGTCTGTGTCCATCTCTATATATAGATACATATGCATGTGGTTAGGAGTCTCCCCGTTTTTTTTTGTTTTTTTTTTTTTTTTTTTTTTTTTCAAC